TGCTGCTGCTGCTGCTGCTGCAGCTCCATATTGACAAGGCCAGCTGCAGTCTCGTCTTCAGGGCTCGTACAGCCAGCAGTAACAGCTACAGCAACAGCTGCAGCAATAGCTGCAGCAGCAGCAGCTGCTGCTGCAGCAGTAGTAGTACTGTTAATGGAAGCAGCAGGCGTACTGTCTCTGCCCATCGGCTGATATCTGAGGGAGTCAATCACTGCGGCTCCCTCTCTATCCCCTACACACCGCAGCAGCAGCAGCCGCACGAACTTCAGCAGCAACCGCAGCAGCAGCAGCAGCAGCAGCGCGAACTTCTGCTGCAGCCGCTGCAGCAAACCCCCCAGCAGCAAGCTGCCTTGATCGGCAGGGTCCATAGCAGGCGGCGATCCGTCTCCTTCCTGAGACCCAGGCAGAGCAGCAGTTTTGCTGCAGCACGTTGTGACGCAGCAGCAGCAGCAGCAGCAGCAGCAACAGCAGCAGCATCAGGAGGTGTCCGTACAGCTCATTCAAAGGGAGCTTCAGATAGGAAGCGATTAAATCAAATGATGCCAGGAGCGCGGGTGGGGGCATCGAGGACGTCAGCAGCAGCAGCAGCAGCAGCAGCAACAGGAGCAGCAGCAACAGGAGCAGCAGCAGCAGCAGCAGCAGATGTGCCGCCTTCAGCTGCGAAGGTGAGGAGGGTGGGGGGGGGCTCTTTGGATGTTATAGAGCTGTCCTTCTCCTCCCTCGACTCCACGCAGAAGTGGGCAGAACGGCATCTAGACGAGCTCGTGTATGCACACCTGCAGCAGCAGCAGCAGCAGCAGCAGCAGCAGAAGCAGCAGGAGCGGCAGGGGGGGTGCTGCCTGTGCATAACTGCAGCGCAGCAAACCGCAGGTGTGGGTACTCGGAGAGGAGATACAGGAGAAGAGCGTCGTTGGGTTTCTGCTGCAGGCAACTTGCATGCAACATATTTGCTGCCTTGGCGGCAGCAGCAGCAGCAGTTGCTGCTGCATCTACCTTTTGTTGCTGCTCTGTCTGTACAGCGCGTGCTGCAGCAGCTAGGCGTTCAATACCCACAGATCAAATGGGTCAATGATGTTCTCGTTCACAACAAAAAAATTGCGGGTGTTCTCTGCCAGAACACCAACCGCACCCTTGCTGCTGCTGCTGCTGCTGCTGCAGCTGCTGCTGCAGGGCAAAGGACTCCTGCAGCAGCAGCAACAACACCAACAGCATCTGATGATGTTGTTGTTTTGATGGGGATCGGCCTCAATCTTATTTCTCATCCTTGGGGGCAGCTGAGTGACTGCTGCTATCAAGGCAGCACAGATGTGCGTGAGGTGCTGCAACAGCAGCAACAGCAGCAGCAACAGCAACAGCAACAACAGCAAAAGCAGCAGCTAAAACAACTGCTGCTGCATCAGTACAACGACCTCGCCATGTGGCCGCCTCCCTCTTCTCTTTTGCTCGCCTCCAGCAGCAGCCAGAGCAGCAGCAGCAGCAGCAACAGCAGCAGCAACAGTGACAGTACCATGAACACT